ACGCTATGAGAAATTGCTCAGAAAATTTGCTCTTTTTATCCAGCCGGATGGCCGCAGGGGAAACTCCTTCCATTGCAGTGGCTTGGTTCGACAGCGGAAGAGCAGGCTGAGCTTCTTGCTTCGGCTTCTTGCTTCGTTGCAGAGTCAGCGAAGAGATGGTCTCATCGCTGAAGGAGAAGATTCTGATGAAATGGTGCTCCGGGCCGACTTATATAGCAGTCAGCTCCGCCCCCTCTGGCGTTCTTAGTTTCAGAAATGCTACGCTAATGGAAATTCATTTAGTCCTAAGAAGGCAAGTCAGTCCACTCGGTGGCCATCTTGGAAATGCCCCAGATGGCTAATTCAAGTCATGCAAGTTCAGCTCCTATCTCCTATCTACTTAAACTGAAATGAGAAAAACAGAAATCTTTAAAACTGTTGAATGAAAAACATTTCAAATAAGGAATAAAATGTGATAGCAATGGTTTTGCTGCTATATTGAAATTGCAATGTCTTCCATTCATTTTGATACACGTTTAAGCGAGTCTCCTCCCCTTATAAAGTCTCTGGTAAACTTTTGTGTTACACATTTAATGGATTTCATATTAAGAAAATATTGGGTCTCATTCACTAACTGTGTGTATGCAACAAATTTGTGTGTAAAATCAGTATATGATAGTATTAATGAATAAATCATGATTTATCAATAACTTTCTTTTTTAAAATGTATTCTAAATTTTACCCTCCCCCAAAAAATATATATATATTATATACACACAAAAATCACATCATCCGGGTGGTCTTATAAGATGACATTCTATACATATAAAAATTTTCTTAAATATATTTAATCATATATTCAATTCAATTCAATTCAGGTTTATTGGTAACACTTTACAATAAGGTTGTATTAGTTAACATTAGTTCATGCATTAGTTAACATGAACTATATATAAGCGTATAAAACGTTACAAAATAATATTGGAGGGAACTTCAGATTAATTATATGTCCAAGTTAGTTAAAGGGGTCATATGATGCTAAAAATAACATAATTTTGTGTATTTGGTGTAATGAAAGTTGTTTATGCGGTTTAAGGTTAAAAAACACATTATTTTCCACATA